AATAGCTCTTATTATTTTGAGATATGTTCCATCAATACCTAGTTTATTGAGAGTTTTTAGCATGAAGGAATGTTGAATTTTATCGAAGGCCTTTTCTGCATCTTTTGAGATAATCATGTGGTTTTTGTCATTGGTTCTGTTTATGGGATGGATTATGTTTATTTATTTGCATATGTTGAACCAGGCTTGCATCCCAGGAATGAAGCTGACTTGATCGTGGTGGATAAGCTTCTTGATGTGCTGCTGGATTTGATTTGCCAGTATTTTACTGAGGCTTTTCTATTGATGTTCATCAAGGATATTGGCTTGAAATTTTTCTGTGTGTGTGTGTCTCTGCCAGGTTTTGGTATTAGGATGATGCTGGCCTCATAAAATGAGTTAGGGAGGAGTCCCTCTTTTTCTATTGTTTGGGATAATTTCAGAAGGAATGGTACAGCTCCTCTTTGTACCTCTGGTAGAAGTTGGCTGTAAATCTGTCTGGTTCTGGGCTTTTTTTTTGGTTGGTAGGCTATTAGTTACTGCCTCAATTATAGAACTTGCTATTGGTCTATTCAGGGATTCAACCTCTTCCTGGTTTAATCCTGGGAAGATGTATTTGTCCAGGAATTTATCCATTTCTTCTAGATTTTCTAGTTTATTTGTATAGAAGTGTTTATACTACTCTCTCATGGTAGTTTGTATTTCTGTGGGATCAATGATGATATTCCCTTTATCATTTTTTATTGTGTCTATTTGATGCTTCTCTCTTTTCTTCTTTATTGGTCTGGCTAGCAGTCTATTTGTTGATCTTTTTTAAAAAATCCAGCTTCTGGATTCATTGATTCTTTTGAAGGGTTTTTTGTGTCTCAATCTCCTTCAGTTCTGCTCTGATCTTAGTTATTTCTTGTCTTCTGCTAGATTTTGAATTTGCTCTTGCTTCTCCAGTTCTTTTAATTGTGATGTTAGGGTGTCAACTTTAGATCTTTACTGTTTTCTCCTGTGGGCATTTAGTGCTATAAATTTCCCTCTAAACACTGCTTTGGCTATGTCCCTGAGATTCTGATTCTGGTATGTTGTGTCTTTGTTCTCATTGGTTTCAAAGAACTTCTTTATTTCTGCTTTAATTTTGTTATTTACCCAGTAGTCATTTAGGAGCAGGTTGTTGAGTTTCCATGTAGCTGTGCAATTTTAAGTGAGTTTCTTAATCCTGAGTTCTAATTTGATTGCACTGTGGTCTGAGAGACTGTTATGATTTCTGTTCTTTTGCATTTGCTGAGGAGTGTTTTACTTTCTATTATGTGGTCGATTTTAGAATAAGTGCTATGTGGTGCTGAGAAGAATGTATACTCTGTTGATATGGGGTGGAGAGTTCTGTAGATGTCTATTAGGTCCGTTTGGTCCAGAGCTGAGTTCAAGTTGGGAATAAAGCTGTTAGTTTTCTGTCTTGTTGATCTGTCTAATATTGACAGTGGGGTGTTAAAATCTCTCACTATTATTGTGTGGGAGCCTAATTCTCCTTGTATATCTCTAAGAACTTGCTTTATGTATCTGGATGCTCCTGTATTGGGTGCACATATATTTAGAATTAGCTCTTCTTGTTGCATTGATCCCTTTATATTATGTAATGCCCTTCTTTGTCTTTTTTGATCTTTGTTAAAGTCTGTTTTACTAGAGACAAGGATTGCAACTCCTGCTTTTTTTTTTTTGCTTTCCATTTGCTTAGTAAATATTCCTCCATCCCTTTATTTTGAGCCTATGTGTGTCTTTGCATGTGACATGGGTCTCCTGAATACAGCACCCTGATGGGTCTTGACTTTTTATGCAATTTGCCAGTCTGTGTCTTTTAATTGGGGCATTTAGCCCATTTACATTTAAGGTTAATATGGTTATATGTGAATTTGATACTGTCATTATGATGCTAGCTTGTTATTTTGCCCATAGGTTGATGAAGTTTCTTCATAGTGTCGATGGTCTTTACATTTTGGTTTGTTTTTGTGGTGGCTGGTACTAGTTTTTCCTTTCCATATTTAGTGCTTCATTCAGGAACTCTTGCAAGGCAGGCCTGGTGGTGACAAAATCTCTCAGCATTTGCTTGTCTGTAAAGGATTTTATATCTCCTTCACTTATGAAGCTTAGTTTGGCTAGATATGAAATTCTGAGTTGAAAATTCTTTTCTTTAAGAATGTTGAATATTGGCTGCCACTTTCTTCTGGCTTGTTAGGGTTTCTGCAGAGAGAGCTGCTGTTAGTCTGATGGGCCTTCGTGTTTAACCCAACCTTTCTCTCTGGCTGCCCTTAACTTTTTTTCTTTCATTTCAACCTTGGTGAATCTGACAATGATGTGTCTTGGGGTTGCTCTTCGTGAGTAGTATCTTTGTGGTGTTCTCTGTATTTCCCGAATTTGAATATTGACCTGTCTTGCTAGGTTGGAGACGTTCTCCTGGATAATATCCTGAAGTATATTTTCCAGCTTGGTTCCATTCTTCCTGTCACTTTCAGGTACACCATTCCTTTTCATTCTTTTCTTTCTAATCTTGTCTTCATGCTTTATTTCATGAAGTTGATCTTCAATCTGATATCCTTTCTTCCGCTTGATTAATGTGGCTATTGATACTTGTATATGCACCACGAAGTTCTCATGCTGTGTTTTTCAGCCCCATCAGGTCATTTATGTTATTCTCTAGACTGGTTAGTCTAGTTAGCAATTCCTCTAAACCTTTTTCAAGGTTCTTAGCTTCTTTGCATTGGGAAGCACATAGACCAATGGAACAGAATAGAGATCTCAGAAATAAAACCACACATCTACAACCATCTGATCTTTGACAAACCCGACAAAAACAAGCAATGGAGAAAGAATTCCCTATTTAATACATGGTGTTGGGAAAACTGGCTAGCCATATGCAGAAATCTGAAACCGGACCCCTTCCTTACACTTTATACAAAAATTAACTCAAGATGGATTAAAGGCTTAAACAGAAGACCTAAGACCATAAAGGCCCTAGAAGAAAGCCTAGGTAATATCATTTGTGACATAGGCATGGGCAAAGACTTCATGACTAAAACACCAAAAGCATCAGCAACAAAAGCCAAAATAAACAAATGGAATTTAAACTAAAGAGCTTCTGCACAGCAAAAGAAACTATCTTAAGAGTGAACAGGCTACCTACAAAATAGGAGAAAATTTTTGCAGTCTATCCATCTGACAAAGGGCTAATATCCAGAATCTACAAAGAATTTAAACAAATTTACAAGAAAAAAAACAATCATCAAGATGTGGGCAAAGAGTATGAACAGACACTTCTCAAAAGAAGACATTTATGCGGTCAAGAAATACATGAAAAACTCATCATGACTGGTCAGTAGAGAAATGCAAATCAAAACCACAATGAGGTACTATCTCATGCCAGTTAGAATGGCAATCATGAAAAAGTCAGGAAACAACAGTTGCTGGAGAGGATATGGAGAAATAGAAATGCTTTTACACTTGGTGGGAGTGTAAATTAGTTCACCCATTGTGGAAGACGGTGTGGTGATTCCTCAAGGATTTGGAACTAGAAATACCATTTGATCCAGCAATCCCATTACTGGGTATATACCCAAAGGATTATAAATCATTTATAAAGACACATGCACACATGTGTTTATTGTGGCACTGTTCACAATAGCAAAGACTTAGAACCAACTCAAATGCCCATCGATGTTAGACTGGATAAAAAAATTGCAGCACATATACACCATGGAATACTATGCAGCCATAAAGAAGGATGAATTCATTCTTTTGAGGGACATAGATGAAGCTGGAAACCATCATTTTCAGCAAGCTAACATAGCAACACCAAACACCGCATGTTCTCACTCATAAGTGGAAGTTGATCGATGAGAACATATGGACACAGGGAGGGGAACATCACACACTGGAACCTGTCAGTGGCTGAGGGCATTGGGGAGGGACAGCATTGGGAGGAATACCTAATGTAAATGATGGGTTCATAGGTGCAGCAAACCACCGTGGCACATGTATACTTATGTAGTAAACCTGCACGTTCTACACATGTATCCCAGAACTTAAAGTATAATTTAAAAAAAGAATTTAAGTGATCTTTTTCCAGACCTTCTCTTATTTCTGCTTGTTTCACCTACTTCTATAATTCATTGACTACTTTTTGCTCATTGTTTTACATTTAAAGTATAAATACTTCTTTCTTTAGTCGTCTGTTATAAGCTATCCTAATCTAACAATTTTCTCCATTTTTCAATTTTTGCTAATACATTTGGGGAGTATTCTAATACTCATTTCAGATTTTTATCTATCTAGATAAAACCTCAGTGTCTGAAGGCCTACCTTCTCCAAATGTGGCATTTGATACATTTTAGTGTATATCATGTCTTTTTGAGACAGTCTTGCTCTGCTGCTCAAGCTGATGTGCAGTGGCACACTCGTAGCTCACTGCAGCCTCCACCTCCTGGGCTTAAGCAATACTCTTGCCTCTGTCTCCCAAACAGCTGGGACCACAGGTGTGTGCCACCATGCCTGGCTAATTTTTAAAATTTTTTGTAGAGACAGGGTCTCACTAGTTATCCAGGATGATCTCAGATTCCTGAGCTCAAGAGATCTGCTCACCTTGGCCTCTCAAAGTGCTGGGATTACAGGCCTAAACCACCACATCCAGCCCATGTCTGTAATAAGTTGATTTATAAGCAAAGCAGTTTAGTGGGGCAATGAAGACCCCAACCTTCACATCAGCCTGCCTGGGTAACAGGGAGCTTGTTAGCTGTAATTCTGGACAAGTAACCAATCTTTCTGTACCTCATTTCCCTCATACATAAGCTAGGGAAAATAATTCTACAAATCTCATTTGGTTATTAATAAGCATTAATTGAATTAACATGTCTAGAAGGCTTGTAACAGCACCTAGAACATAGTGCCATGTAATTATTGGCTATTAGCATTTCCAAGGTTAAAATAGAAAAAGTATCTTAGAATAAAGGGTGGAGAAGTTTTAAATACTTTTTCTTTCACAGGTCCAGACTATGTAAAGGATTACTTGCCTAAAGTTCATCAACACACTTCCTATGTAGGAGAACAGCATCCAACATTAGAAAAAACTGGAGATCTCAGATATTTATGGAGGCCTGCCATGAATAGAAGCTTCCCAGCAAAATATAAACATGAGTACGTTGGTGAAATTGGCTGGGGAGTAACACAGTATAATTTTATCAACAAATCAAGACTGGAGAGTGGCTTTCATATCAAGGTATTGCTCTTAAATTTATGCTCTTCATAGTACACTGTTTTCTAAGTTGAATTCTTTATGAATTTGCTTCCAAAGGAAATGTTGGGCACTTGATTTCTCATTGAGACATAGAGGTTTGAATTTTGTAGGAAGACAAATGTGTGAATAAATGCATGGCTCCGCAACACTCCTGGAGCCCCTTTAATACACCAAGGGAAGGGTATGAAGAATATGAAGCCATGGATAGTCCAAAAGCATTTGTGTTTGGCTGTGGAATGTGTTCTGATTCACATTCAGGCTGAGGCACTTGCACACACTTCCCCCATCCTGGCACTGCTTCACGCGCGGGTGGTAAAAAGAAAGCAGCCGGTGCTGGGCATAATCTACAAACCTCACACAGGCATCTCAGATCTTTAAGATTCACTGTATAGATAAGGCCTTCATTGCAAGTGTTAATAATTCAGTGTATGTTGTCAGAGGGTTTTAGAAACCTTGTCTTATTTCCCTTTGGTGATATAGACATAGGCATGAGGTCACGGTGTCTCCTCTGAAACAGAAGAGTACACAAGTGATTTCAGAAGTAAAATCTGAGAATTTGGATATTTTTTTCCAGGAAGGCCTTTGCGTTGTCTGAAAATTGCATGTATCAATCATGCAATAACTGAATTTCCTCAAATTCTTAAGGCAAACCAAGACAGTCTCATCTGGTAAACGTTAACAAAAGGAAAACCTTTTTTTTTTTCCTTTTTTGAGACACAGTCTCACTCTGTCGCCCAGGCTGGAGTGCAGTGGTGCGATCTTGGCTCACTGTGACCTCCACCTCCTGTCAAGAGATTCTCCTGCCTCAGCCTCCCGAGTAGCTGGGACTACAGGCACGTGCCTCCATGCCCAGCTGATTTTTGTATTTTTAGTAGAAATGGGGTTTTACCATGTTGGTCAGTCTGGTCTCGAACTTCTGATCTCAGGTGATCTACCTGCTTCAGCCTCCCAAAGTGCTGGGATTACAGGTGTGAGCCACCACACCCAGCCAGAAAACCCTTTTTCTGGCTCAAACCATGGCAGTCCAGGAGGGTGGTTGGGAGTGCAGTCTTTGGGGTTACACTCTGACTTAGGTCTAGCTCTGTGACCTCGGGCAAATGAGTTCACCTTTCTGCATCTTTGTTTGTTCCTCTTCTACAAGTCAGTATTCAGAGGCTCATTTCACAGGATCACCTGACTTTCTATCCTAGTTCTGCCACCTATTAGTGTGTATGGTCTTGGTTAAGTTTATTTACCTCCGTGCTTCAGTGTCTTCGTTATAAAATCTTAGTTCTAGGTTAAAGGGCCGTTGTAAACAGTACACAAGTTAATACTCGTAAAGCGCCAGAAGCAGTAACTAGCATGTGTCAAGCCCTATCTGTGTTTCATTATTATGTTGTGAGGACTAAATGTAAGAACACAAGGAATGCAGTGGGCGCGATCCTGACACCAGGCTGACATCCAGATTTTAGCTATTAGTACTGTTGTGGTTGTATTTCATGTATTTCATTAAATTTAATATTATATTTAGTGTATTGTAATATGTTAAAATGCCAGGGCCAAGAAAGTGCGCCGATGATAAGGAACGTCTCTTACAACATATTCCAAAGAAGACCAGTTTCTGAGCATGTGACAAGCTGAGTGTAATGAATGCTTAGGTTCTTAAACTGTGTCCTTTTCCACTTGGGCAATAAAAAGGAAAATCTGAAATTTGATTAAATATCAAACTAGCCACCAGCAAGAAGAGTCCAGCCCCAAAGCAAGGCAGCTGGTTTGAATAAAGTCCAGAACTTGTGTTGTCTTGGTGTTTCTCCTTGGGTGATGATGCCCTGCTCTCGGACACAGCCCTCAATCTGTCAGACCATCTTGAGTGTGTATAGCCTCTCTTCCTTCTTTAACTTAAGGACCCATTTTTCTGCTCAAATGAAGTGCAATTGAACATTCTTTGGTCTTTAAAGCAAGCTGGGAATCCGAAAGAGACGATAGCTGCGCGTTAGCCTTCCAGGAATGTATTTATTCCGGATCTTCAGTTAGTATTTCCTGGACTGCTTTTAATCACTGCACTGCTGGGTAATGGGGTCCTCTCTGTCTCTGTGAGATTGTGAGCCATGCAGTGATTTTCTTCCCCAGCTGCGGCACCCTCAGAAACTGCTTGGTTTCTTATCATCTGTGCATTTTCTTGGCCCTGGTATTTTAACAGTAATTGTTTTCAAGGGTCTATCTGTCACAGATAACAATCTTGAACAATACCTTAAAGCTCCTTGGACTTAGAGGTTTGTAATAGGGAAATCGAGATTCACTGAGAATGACCATACCTACTAGCATTGAAGTGTCTATAATTTCCTTATCAGTTAAGATCTAGGTTTTGTCACTAGGGCTACTAATCTCTCCCTTTGCATCGAAGGCATACCTTTCTGTTTCCATCCAAGGCAGATCAAAATATCTTTTTTTTTTTTTTTTTTTTTTTTTTTTTGAGACAGTGTCTCATGCTGTCAGCCAGGCTGGAGTACAGTGGCACACTCAGAGCTCACTGCAGCCTCCATCTCCTGGGCTCAAACAGTCCTCCTACCTCAGCCTTCTGAGTAGCTGAGACTAGAGGCATATGCCACCACACCCAGATAACTAAAAAAAATTTTTTTTTTAGTAGAGACAACATCTATGTTGTTGCCCAGACTGGTCTCAAACTCCTGAGCTTAATTGATGCTCCTGCCTCAGCCTCCCAGTGTGCTGGGATTACAGGTGTGAGCCACCATGCCCAGCCCACAGTATCATTTTTTGCATCTAGACTCAGACTTTGATTCCTTATCAACCCTGTGCTTCAGGCAGCTACTTCTAAAAAATCAGACTTGGTGCATTAATTGACACTGAGCTGATATATACACATGAACTCCATACATACAAACATGTTCCTAATTACAAAGAATACACAAGAGTGGTGGCATTAACCCAGGGCCCGCCTCACAAGGGAGCTGATAAACTTGTCAGTGTGGTGTCACTGTGAGAAATGTCTCAGTCCACTTCCTGTTCTTTTCCAGTTTCTTACCTGTCTATACATGCTTTCCATATCCCTTGCTCTTCCTTGTCCCATAATAATCCAAATCAAAATGATCACTTCTTGTTTTAGTCTAACTACAGAGACTCCTCAGTGTCTCTTGTGGCAATTACTCAGAGCTTAGATTTTAAGCAAAGTTTCATCTCCTGGATTTTTATAGCTCTAACAGCTGCTCTGCCTAATTTACTGCTCCAGGTTTATGTAAGACTGGCGGCTAAGGACACTCAGGCACCTCCAATCGAGTCTTGGTAAAATGCCTGGAGCAGCTGCCTCCTACCCGGGAATGGTCTCTCTTATTTGGGGCACTAGGAGGGGTTCTGCAGATCATCTGGCTTTTTGCAGGAAGATAATAACTTCCATGCTGAGTGACACCTGAAAAACTTCCCCCATGTTACGGAGGTCAGTAAAAATCACAAGATAGAGTTTCTTTTCTGGATTTTTTTTAATGTTTAGCTATTTCCTACTCTTACATGGGTTACAATGCAATAATAATAAATGTATCTATAAGACCATTACTTTTATTATCTCAGATTTAAGAGCAGCACATTCTTTTAAAAAATGGATTTGGTCTCTGCCAAACTATGTGCAAGAATATATGGAGACAACTGAAACAATTTCTTTGGTTTCAGTCCCATGCTAAACTGAGGAACTTTCCTAACTGCTTCCTAGCTGGTCGTGTCCCCTCTTAGCTGGTGTCATCACTGCCTTTCTTTAATCCAAACCACAACAAGGTCTGCTGGGTTCCTAGTGTCCATTTTCTACTCCTGTTCTCTGACTTCGTGACAAAATAATTTATTTCGTTTTCTCACAGAAACAATGTTATACTGGACAAGATGACTAACTTTTCATTGGTGTGATCCCAAAGACAATATTAAATGAATTAATCATAATATAACCAATATATTATATATCTTTTACAAACTCTATGAGGTAATAGAATCGTGGGAACCCATCAATATATTTATAGTAAGATGATATAATAAAAACCAAAATTTTCAAGGCCTTGATATCTCTTCCTCGTTTTTAACTGTTAAAAGTTCCACTCTCATGAAATAGAACATCTTTGTGACCGTTTTATGGACATTTGCGTAGACTTCTGATGAAATGTCGAATTTCTTGATGGCTAAGGAATAAACTCATCCAAGGTTGGTTTATTAGGCATTTCGCTCAGTGAATTTATTTTAAAAAGGTAAACATAAAAAGAGCTATACTTGATTGTTGATTAAGAATGGTACTGTGATGATTTACAGCTGAGGAAACTGAGGTATAAACAGTGAGGTTCCTTGCCTGAGGTCACACAGCTAGTAAATGGGAGAGCCAGAATTTCAACCCAGGCCATGTGAAATAAGGACTCGGAGGAATACAGGATGTATGAAATGCAATGATAGGCAATAAGTTAGAACATTAGGTTGGAACCACTTTATAAAGTACACAGCTGTGTTATTTTTCTATAACGCAGGGTCAGGCTGTGGTCAAACCTACTTGGCTTTCTCTTACAAGGTATGCATCCCTTTCTTCATGGTTCCCTCAGTTGTCTCCTAGCATCTGACTGGCATCATTTGCACACAATATACTTCATTTATAATATCAATAAATAGTAGAGGCTGGGCACGGTGACTAATGCCTGTAATCCCAGCAGTTTGGGAGGCTGAGGCAGACGGATCATTTGAAGTCAGGAGTTTGAGATCAGCCTAGCCAGTAAGTGAAACCCTGTCTCTACTAAAATACAAAAATAAGCTGGGGGTGGTGGCACATGCCTGTAACTCAGCTACTCAGGAGGCTGAGGCAGGAGAATTGCTTAAACTCAGGAAGAGGAAGTTGCAGTGAGCCAAGATCGTGCCACTGCACTCCAGCCTGGGTGACAGACGATAGTCTGTCTTAAAAATAAATAAATAATAAATAGTAGAGATGATACCACCCAAATATTTGACATAATGAGAAATAGCTTGAT